AACTCATGGACAGTCTGTGGTGCAATGTGATGTTGGTGGATGGCTCAAGACATAACGTCCCAGATGTGCACAATCGGATTCAGGTTTGGGGAACAGGCGGGCCATGGCTCTAATGCCGTCATCTTGCAGGAACTACTGAACCAACTCCAGCCCCATGAGGTCTAGCATTGTCCTGCATTAGGAGAAACCCAGGGCCAACTGCACCAGCATATGATCTTACAAGGGCTCTCAGGATCTCATCTCAGTACTGTACCTAATGGTAGTCATGCCAACTCTGCCAAGCACATGGAGGGCTGTGTGGCCCTCCAAAAAATGCCACCCCACACCATTACTGACCCACTGCAAACGGTCATGCCGAAGGACGGTGTCTCCAGACTCTGTCGGCTCTGTCACTTGTGCTCTGTGTGAACCTGCTTTGAACTGTGAAGAGCAGAGGGCTCCAGTGGGCTTCTCTGGCAAATTCCAAGATTCCTGGACTGTGTTAGGCTGTGACCACAACCCCCACCTGTGGAAGTCAGGCCCTCATCACTGTTTGTGCAGACACATGCAAATTTGAATTAATGAATAGGAATTTATTTCAGACAATTTGACAAACAACAATAAATGAATCAACAAAATACACACAAAAGAGACTAGTTAACTTCAACCACATCAAACACCAATTTCCAAACAAACAAAATTCAACTGAACAAAAAAAGAAACAAAACCCTCCATCAAAAAAAAAACCTGTCGGTATATTCAACCAGAAAACTGACATTGATTAATGTAAATTATCTGAAAAGGGGTATGAAGAAGTAGAACTTATTTTTCACACCCCCTCTCCCTCTAATTGCACTTAAATTAACTTAAAGTAGAGTAACCTTCATGTTAAACTTCTATATTGAATTTCCACCATTTACACACACAAGAAAATATATATACAGATATACACATACATATATAAATATAAATATATACATCTACATAGATGCATGTAAACAAAGACAGACATACCTACACAAAGACATTAAGCCAAAATCCACATTTGCACCCTTTACAGCAGGACTCGGAGTACTGCGACCCCCCCAGACCGCTGCTTGAACATTGCTTCAGCTCTTTTTGGAGTTTACTCCAGATCTTCACACCACTGAATGAAATGCACATTCTCTTCATGGCGGTTCAAACCCTCAAGGTTTGGATGTTAAGGTTTTCCCTGTAGTTATAGCCCCCCAGTCTATCATAAAACAGCTTTTGAATATTTTCTCGTAGTTGTTTATTTATGGAGCCTTGGGGGAAGTTCAACTGAAGAAACTCATTGCTCTCCAAACTCCACCTGCGACACAGCCAATCAGGTTTGAACCAACCTCCTCGAAAGCCAAAGTTCATCTTGTCTCTCTTGCGTTGTGGCATGGAATAACATAGCGCAGATCACTCTTCAATATTGGGAATAAATCATAAATCATAAAGGCCTCCGATCCGCACTAGTCTGCTCCTGTGCGCAGGTGGCGGATGCGGCGCGCTGTGTGACTTCTTCCAGATGACACATTTTCAACCCACCTCCAGCCCCTCCTCCAGCTAAAGCTTCATCAGAGAGTCGTTCATCCTGGACTCTTACTGTGTTCCCTGTCTCATCTCAACCGTGATTTATTGTGTCAAAAGCTTTTTTTTGATCAATAAACACACCAACTGCAGATTTCTTATTATCTAAGGCACTGTTGACTTCTATCAATTCAATGACGTCCATTGCTATAGATCTTTGTGATCTAAATCCATACTGACTTTTGGAAAGCAATTTATGTTTATTAATGAATGTATGTAATCTATCCACAAATAATTTCTCAAAAACTTGGGAAAACCTGGCCCATAATTTTTATATAGAATGGAATAGCTTTGGCAATTTCCAACATTTCTGGAAATGTCCCCAAAAAAATGACAGATTGCAGATGTAAGTCAGAAGCTGAATAATTTCCTCAATAACCTTCTTAATTACTGTCATAATAAATCCATCACAGTCAGTTGACCTCTTGTTTTTACATTTATTGACAATATCTATAATTTCCCTTTCTCCCAAAGCAGTCAGAAACATTGAATAAGGATTTTTGCAGTTCAATGTTTTATTCACAGCTCTAGTAGTTGTATGATCTGGGCTTTGTTCTGTCACTTTGGGTCCCACACAAATATTTATTGAAATGATGAACAACGTCATTAATTTCTTTAAAATAAAAATTCATGTTTTCCCTGAGTTTTTCTTGGTAAAATTATTCAATTCATTTCAAATTCGTTTGATCATTTTCTTATTTATATCTAATAATTTACTGTAATAATCCTGTTTAGCTATTTGTAAAATGGCATTTAATTTATTCTTATATTTCTTATATTTATTCTCTACCTCCAAAGACCTATGTCTTATGAAATCTCTGTATAGTTTGTTCTCTTTTTTTGCAGCCATTTTGCAAACCCTTTTCATCCCTTGTGAGAAGTAACTGTGTATGTTTGCTCAAACCATTCTCTAAATATTTCCATATTGGAACCAGGAGCCCTGTATACAACTAACAATGTCTTTTTTTGACTTTTCCATAAATATTTCAACTGTTAAACACTGAAATGCATCTTTAATCACTCTGGTCATGTTTTCTACTATTTTATACTTTAAGTTTTTGCCAACATACATAGCTACTCCTCCCCCAGTGTTCCCTTCTCTAATTGAACTCATAACCCTCCAGCTCAAAATCAGCTCCTCTCTTATGAGTGATCCATGTTTCAGAGATGGCAATGAGGTTGAATGGCTGTTTAAACTGGTTAAAACAGTTCTATGTTGTTGAATTTTGCATATAAATGTCTGCTGTTGAAATGTGTGATAGAAATGTATTAGCTACTTGAACTGTGCTGTTGAATTGATCAGTTGTGTAGCAGCAGCAGTTATCAACAATGTTATAGAATCCACATTGTCTTTCATGACCTGACTTTTATAATCCGTGTAGCTGAAGGTTTTCAGTTCCAGGTTATCTGCACTAACAGTTGTAGATGTTAGTGTTGTGTCCATTAGTCACAACAATCCGACAAAAAGGGTTCCTTGAACTTGTGACATGGTGAAAGTGAGTCGTGCGTGATATCACCTGTGCTCTATATGTTCCTTGAAGATTTAAGTCATATTTATCCAGCTCTATGATGTCCCGAATGACCAAAACCTTCGCCTCCTGTGGTGTTCCATTCAGATTGATGAAGACCTTACAGTTCGAGGTCCACAGGGACTGGATCTTCTTCTGCTTCCTCAGGAACCGGGCCTTCATTGTGATGTCGGCATTCTTCTTGGTCAGGTGCTCGTTAATTAACACGTCTGACCTCTTTAGCAACCTGCCCTGTTTCAGCAGAGCAGTTTACTGTTACTGCACACTGATAATCGCCTTTATCTCGTCGGGTGACAGTACACCAGCCGGACAGGGCCCTGCCACCGCCCCGGCGTAAGAGTTGAGCTTGACTTGAGTCCAGTGACGATCACATCATTCATTCTGGTGTAGTGTTCCAAGTCAGCCACTTGGTCTTCCAAAACTTCAATCCGTTTGTACCCCTCCTGAGACAAATACCAGATGTTTCTCCAAAAAGGAAATCCAACGCTTTCCTTATTACCTCAAAATCCTCCAAAGCTGGATTCTTCTTAGGGCCAAAGCTGGCAACAGGAATGTAAACACTGCCACGGAACGGCCTAGACACCGCCACTTTAACGCCTTTGGCACAACTTCCGGTGTAACGGGCTACTCCGTTCCACTGGCAACAGTGCTACCTGTTTGTGCCCTACTGGAGGTCATTTTGCCTCTTACAGCCTCTCCACGTCTCCTGGTGTACTGGCCTATCTTCTGATAGCGCCTCCAGGCTCTGGACACTACGCTGACAGACACAGCAAACCTTGCCACAGCTTACATTGATGTGCCATCTTGGATGAGCTTTATTGAGTGTGATTTGCTGATTGCCAATAATTTACACCTGTTGTCTATTCCTTTTGCACAACAGCATATGAAATTGATTATCCATCAGTATTGCTTCCTAAGTGGACAGTTAGCTTTAACAGAAGTTTAAATTTGATTTGTACTTTATACAACATGCAAAAAAAACTTACATATATACATTCATTGGAAGTTCAAAATGTAAACATTTATAACTAATCATGAATAACTTTGTTTTAATTTTATAAGCTTACCAAATAAAGTGTTTCACTTTAAAGATCATCATTTGAAATTACACGCATCTAGATAAGCTCTGTCATAAAGTCTACTAGGATATTAATTTAGCATTTAGACATTCTTAGGATCTGCATCAACTGCACTATAAAAAAATACTTTAACTTTGCCAAATATCACAAGGAAGGTCCTTTTAACGAACTTGGTAACATTGTGAAAGGCATGCAAAAAGTCTGATTTTGGAGCATCAGTATAGCTGCATTCAATAAAAAGTTCAATGCCACTTTGAGCTAAGATGTGGAAGTAATCTTCAGACAAATGTCTGAGTCTTCTTTAGACTTCAACTCTTTGTTAGCCCATACAGTCACTGACCTCAGTCTCATCTTTTATTAACTGAAAACCATGCATTACTTATTTGTCAAAGAAAAATAACAACATGGTTGTATAGAATCAATAAAACTGATGTTGCTCTGGTTTTTCATATGAAAAATTGTGTAAATCAATCAATTTATGGTGGCAGCTCCCTTTTATGCTTCTAAACTTAAAAAAAAAAAAAAAACAGAAACAACTATGGCATGTATTGTGTTTTGGCTAAATATAACCACCTTTTATAATTAACTGCAAGAAAATTTTAAATTCCTTTTCTCAGCGCTAAATTTGTCTTGATTCAGCTGCAGCTTTAGAAAAAAAAAGCCTGGCTCTAAATCTACAGCCACATCTAAATTAACATTTATTGACTTTTAGCAGTGCCAACACCATAAGGAATGACAAAACAAGAAATCAATGTCTCCTCCCACAACAACAACAGGGTCTCCAAAGGCAGCAAAATAGTTTAACTTGACTCACCAAAGAAGGCCCGTTGACCACAGAGAGGTTATAGCCATATAGAAAAGATGAACCCAGGGCCCCAAAGAATGCTGCGCTGAACAGGCAGATTGTGAGAGGCTGCTGCTGAAAAAGAAGATAAAAGAGATCAAATGCAGAACTCGTCATTACTCAAACATGCTAAGGGATTATCAAAGAAAATCAAGTCAATGTCAAGGCTAAACTCTACTTAATACTACTTAACTGCAAAGCTGACGGTCCATAATACTTGGATTTTAATAAATTACCAACAAAATCTAAAAACTGTGTTGGTGCATTTGTATTCAGCCACTAAGTCTTTTCGCAAGTCCATGTAAAAATTATTGAGTTCTGATGTTTCTTCAGCTATTGTGCAAAATTATCTCCAATCTGAGATCTTTGAGGTACCTTCCAAAACAAAAATGGAGGTTAACTATGTTATATACAATCAGCTGTTACTTTAGTCAGTATATAGTCAGATCGTATATAAACCTCTCTATGGCTTTGAAAAATTCTACATTCATGTTCAACTTTAAATCTTAGGCTTCTTTAGATTTTTTTTGGCAGATTTGAAAGTTAGACACAATGTAAATATTTAAATAGATTGCCACTCAGATAACCCACAGCAGTAAGGAGGTCAAAGTTCTAATTTTTCTCCTTATAGACGGTGCAAGAGGAAATGCCAAAGCATAATTAGGCCATAAGGCTATGAGCATACTAAACGGATTTATGATGCTTTTATATTATCACATAATAAGAATACAAGAATGTCATTTAGGGAATAGAACTATGCAGATAGTAAAGAGTATTAATAAACATTATGAGTCATGCTTTAGGTTTGTTGACTTTGAAAGATATGGCTAATTACTGTGGCAAGAAAAGGCTTGAAGGGTGACCTAATATGTATAGAATTATTCAACAACTCAATTCAACAATTCAATTCAACAATTCAACAAGTATTATACCTTGAATGATTTTGTGAAATTGAACCAATTCACAAATCCACAGTCGGGAGTGAAACCGTCTTTATCCAATTAAAGCTAAAAGCTCAGTCAGCAAAGTCAAAAGCCATAGACAGAGAGACAGTGCAAGAGAGCATATACTTAGTCATGAATGTAGTATTTAGCCTAATTTAGTTTAATATGTTATGACCTTGGTCAAAAGTGTAGGTTTCCTTTTCACAATATTTGCAGTAATATTGGTCTTTTCCTCCACACAGAGGTGGGGTAACTGACATGTGTTCGTTGGCTCTCTTGCTCACGTATTCCTCCTTTCCAATGGATTTTAGATCTGAGCTTTATACATTTTTTTTTTCTCCTAATAGATAACTTGCTTGTTGGTCAACTTAAGGGTCTTGTCCATTGGGACTACCATTTCCTAGGTAATCTTTGGAGAATGTTCTCCAATGTTTCCATATGAAGTAAAGCTACAACCTGAATATCCTACAGATGTAACACTGGCTAAGAATCAGTAGAAACATTTAAAATATGTTCTCTCCCATTTTTCAGGCATATAGAAAATACATTTAGAAATGAAAAGCTGTACTGCATCACAAAGGGTTAACTTCCCCTAGTCTCTGTGCTTAGATATGGACCCAGTTTGCCAAACCTGGTCTATGTTTCCTCTGGAGGTCATAATACTGATTTTAGTTTTTGTTTTTTTCTTTCATGGTGGCAAATTAATTTCAAATGTTCCCAATCCCATGCCCATCCCAATTAGAACTGTCTGTGGCTCCACAAAGAGCAAGTTGTGTTCACATGTTCAAACGCAGCACTGATTTGAAATAACTCAGAAATATAGAATAGAAACTTAAAATTAGTGAAGCCACAACAAATCAGATTTAAAGCAAAAAAAAAGGTTCACAGATGAAAAGTGAATTTGGTTTCCCTAAGACAGACTTCTATAGATACCTACAACTTAGAACCTTTGTAACAACACACAATAATTGGACTAAACTCCATGAATCTGCACCCATAGAAAATTTCCTAATGGACATACAAAGGGGAAAAGGTAATAACAATGTAATTAGTAAAATATATAACCTGTTTCTGTCTATGAACGGGCATGATTCCACAAACATAAAGCTTAAATGGGAAACTGAACTGCAGGAGTCAATAACAGGGGACACATGGGAAGAAATGTGTACCGACGCACAATTAACAACAAATTCTAACACATGTAGAGAATTCAAATGGAAAGTAATAGTCCGATTTTTCAGAACGCCAACAATAACCAGTAAAATGGGCCCAACTCAACCAAGTTCATGTTGGAGAAACTGCGGGACACAGATTGCAAATCATACGCACATCTTTTGGTCCTGCCCTAAACTAAGTGTATTCTGGGAGGACATCTTTGAAGCACTTAAAGTAATTTTCAGGAGAAATGTCCCAAAAACTCCCTTGGTGGCAATTCCGGGAGAAATACCCGATGGAATAGACAGGAAGGGGGATAGATACCTGTTAAGAATCTTGCTTACAGCAGCATTGAAATGCATAACTGTCAGATGGCTGAAGCCAGAGCCTCCTACATATAACATATGGATACAAAAAGTTTGGGACATTTACATGATGGAAGGAATAACATATTCCCTAAGGTTTCAAAAAACAGTTTTTAATACAAGATGGAGCTCTGTCATACCGTTACTAACTCAGTGACACAGCTACAGGATAGCCCTTTTGCATTAGCGTATATCTTTGGGTCGATATGTATACTATGAATGTGTGGATTGTCTTGTCTCAGGAGGGGATTCATTCAAGTATTATGTACCATTTTATTTTATTTTACTGTTATCTGCCTGTTGATTTCAATCTGTTGTCATGTATGCATTATTACATGTGTTAGAACACCCACTGACTCACCTTTCGATGTCTCGTGTAATATAGTGGCTATAGGTCGGTGGAGACAAAAGATTGTAAAGTTCAAAAAAAAAAAAAAAAAAAAAGGTTCAGCCAAGGTTTGGAAGTAAATGAAAGGTAGAGGTGCAATTTACTGAAATATAGCATCTAAACAGTGAAACATCTTTTTTTTTAATGTTATAATACTATTAATTGTTCAAAATTATGCTCAATGTTGAATTTCAATTGAGTCATGCATCTCTGACTAATCCACGAGTTTTGCTGTCTGAGCTGTTGCCCTTCTAATTTCTGTGAAAAAGGAGCAGATGGAGATTATCTATGTTTAAGTGCCCCCCAAGTAAGCAGCTTCTTTAACTGCACTGTACCTATACTGTAGACAACCATTTTCTCCAAATCAAGGAGGGGTGATGTCAGGCAGTGTGCTATGATTCTGGCTCATAGTTCAGGTGCAGTTAATTACATTGAGCTGATGTCTCCCACCTAATCATCCCCATTTCTCCCTGCTGTTACTTCACCAATTAATACCTGCCTCAGTCAATCTCTGCCATATAGCCTCCTTGCCAGCAGGAGGTTTGTTCGAATGCTTCTTTGCACAGCCTGCCTTGCTGTGCACCTGCGCTCATCATGCCTGCACTAGATTCTCATCTGTTTCTTACTCATAACTTGCTACCTGGGTGTTGAGCCACTATCTTCCTGCTTGAGCCTAATACCAGCCTACAACTCAAGTTCAGCCCTTCAATCTCACAAAAAATCAAATCATTTTAACTCAATACTGTTTCTGTCTGAATATCAGTTTATCTGAAACCTATTGTAACAGGTGACTTAGAAAGGTTTAAAAAAAACAGCTCTAAAAAATTAAGGTAACTCTCAAATAACACATCCTAGATCTGAAAGAATTAAATATTATCATTGAATACTTTGTTCCGTACAAAGCTAAATGTTCAGACAACAAAATCCAAAATTACACAAAAGCCATCATGGAAATCCAGTTTATTAACCAATGAAGTCCTGGATTTGCAGTCGCACACAAAATAAAGTGGAAGAACACACTACAGGCTGATCCAATGTCCTATAAACATGTCAAAACGAGGCTAGGTATTGTGGTTGCCCTCCAGATGCTTGTGATGAAGTGGTGGTGGTCTCCTGAGGAATCTCCTACTAGGTCTGGACTAAAGCATCCGCCAACCTCTGGAGAGTCTGTGGTGCAATGTAATTTTGTTTATGGATCAAGACATGATGTCCCAGATTTGCTCAATCAGATTCAGGTCTGGGGAACAGATGGGCTAGTCCATGGCTTTAATGTCTTCATCTTGCAGGAACCGCAGACACACTCCAGCCACATGAGGTCTAGAACTGCCCTGACTTAGGAGGAAAGGCCAAGGCCAACCACATATGGAGGGCTGTGTTGCCCTCCAAACAAATGCCACTCGACACCATTACTGACCCACTGTCACACTGGTAATGCAGAAGGATGTGGCAGGCAGCAGATCACTCTCCATGGTGTCTCCAGACCCGTCTGAACGTGCTCCGTGTTAACCTGCTTTCATCTGGGAAGAGCACAGGGCACCAATAGTGAATTTGCCATTCCTGGTGTTCTCTGGCAAATGCTAAACATCCTCCATGGTGTTCAGCTGTGAGTACAACCCCCATCTGTGGATGTCAGGCCCTCCTACCATCCTCATGGAGTCGGTTTCTAGCCGTTTGTGCAAACACTTGCACATTGGTGGTCTGCTTTAGGTCATTTTGCAGGACTCTGGCAGTGCTCCTCCTCTTCCTTGCAAAAAGGCAGAGGAAGAGGTCCTGCTGCTGGGTTGTTGCCCTCCTATGACCTCCCCCATGTCTCCTGGTGTACTGGCCTCTTTCCGCTACAGTCACAGCAAACCTTCTTGCTACTCTCACATTAAAGGTATTGTGGAGGATTTTTTAAAAGACCCACCCTCTTCACTTAAAGAAAAAATGCACGTGCCCAAGCCCATTTCCCCTTATTCACGCACTGTTTAAAATGTGATGTTCTCATAGCTCATACAAGCTTACTGTGTCAACATACAGCGGGAACTATATAGTGGACTTTATAGCAAACTCATTTGACAGCAAATCCCATAGTGCTTTGCAATTAGACCTCTGCATGCAAAGCATTCTGGGATATATCTGCCTCTTCTTTGGCCTTTCTTTTCTTTTCATACACTTCGCAGACACTTTTTCTCTTACGACCCAAAGCCATTTTCAAAGAAACGCAGTGATAAAGTTAAGCTTCAATGAATGTCTGAAACACCACACATATGTTGCTGAAAGTGCGCATGCGCAGAAAAAGATAGCTAACGGGGCAAGCACATAGGACGGCCTTATGTAAACATATCACCAGAATGATTGACAATTAGGAGTACCGCTTATTTAGATGATCCACCCTGAAATAAAAATTCATCCTCTATACCTTTAATATGACGTACTGCATGAGCTACACTACCTAAGCCACTTGTGTGGGTTGTAGAGTGCTTCTCGTGCCACCAAGTGTGAAAGCACCACCAACATTAAAAAGAAACTAAAATATCAGCCATATACAGTATATGGCATACGTGTCTTGCTAAATGCAAATGATTTCCACCTGTTTTCTATGTCTTTTGCACAACAGCATTTGAAATCATTGTTGCTTCCTAAGTGGACAATTTCATTTCACAGAAGTTTCATTTTGATTGTTATATTGTGTTGTTTACCTGTTCCCTTTATATTTATGTTCAAAAGACATGTTTTATCAGTTGGTCAGAAATCTAAATCTTATTTAAATGAGCAGTTGACAACATGCAATTTTCCTTTAGCTTAATTGTCTTAAACAGAAACCTCTATTTGTACAGACAGAATCAGTAGCAGGGCAGAAGAAATTATATGTTATTTACAGCAAGACTGACCAAGCAACTCTGTGCACTGAGATACTTTAGAGGAACAGCTGTTGTGGCTATTATTACTGCCAGTACAGCTCACTCTTTACCCATTTATCACCATTGCAAGTGCGACTCACCATTTTAGGCTCCTCCAAGCTTCCTTTGTGGAGCCCCTGACTCTGGTACCATGTTCATTTCAGGGGTCACAAATTGTTTGTATTTCTTGTGAGTAATCACATTTATTTTTGATCTATTTGCAGACAGTATCTTTAAAGGATTTTTTTCAAGATTTTCCATATAATTTTAGATTTAATTTTGTACACATCTACCAATGAAAAGGAGAATGTAACATGAGTCTCCTTTTTTAATCTATTTATATTCAATCAGTTCACCTGTTCTATGTGCATATGTGTTGTTATAAAATAGTTTTCAATAAAAATTTCCACCCTAAAATGCATATTTGGAAGCTGCTCCATCAGCATAATTATATGGGTATTGAGTTCATACTGATTCTAAACAATAGCTTTCAATCCTCCATAACGTACCAAGGGATGGTGAGACTGAGCAAGTATTGTAACAAGTGATGTGGATGTTAGTGCACAGTGCAGACTAAAAACAACACAGAGACATTCTCTACTGCACTATTAGGCACTGAAAATATACTGACCAGCTGAGCACATATAAATTTGGAGACAAAAACTGTGATAGGAACAAACGTTTTAATTATGCTCCATCAGACACAGAAACAACAAACAGAAAATTTCCTTTAATAATCCACAGAAAGAATCTTTTTTGTTTTTTATTTAATGCTAATTTAAACAGAATAAGTCGCGACTAATGCATCAAAAGGTGTGCATTTTTTACTATATTTTATTCACTTTTCTTCTTCAATATCTCTTGTTTTTATACATTCCCATATGTAACATCCTTGTATAGACTAATCAGTCATAACAATATGAGCAGTATGAGTACCCTGACAGATCTGCAGATATAAACCCACATACAATACACAGCAAACTGCAATGCACTGTTTTTTGTTTTTGACAGATTCTATTAGAATCAGCATCTGCTTCAGCAGCAGGTTTAACTACAATAGTTCTGTTGAATCCAAGATTTTCTTTGCTCCCCACATACATAAATTGACACTGTTTGCTCTTGATCCTTTCACCTCTTCTCAGCCATTCCTTCTTTGAACACCCCACAATTGCTGCAATTTTGCAGATGCCCTAACCCAGGTTTCTGTCTTTTACAGTTCAGCCTTTCATAGGCCCTCTCAAATCCCTCAACTTCCCATTATTCCTACATCTTACGCGTCAACTTTGACATCAACCTATACTCCTTAGCATATCTCACCTTCCAAAAGGGACAATCTAAAAAAGATAATGGTTGTTATGCACTTCACCAGTCAATACTAATGTTATGCATTAATATTCATCCGGTCTGTTCAGTATTTAACAGATGGTTTGTTTTCCTCCCTGCTTTGCTCACTACCTGTGTCCCTGTGGGTTTTTTTTTTTATTTCATTTTCCTCCGCATTAACTGGTTCAATATCTCGTTGTGTTTATCCAATTAAGGAGCTCTGTCTCCTGGACCCAATATGTAAGATAATTTATAGGATTTAACTCATTTATCTTGCTTCCACACTACCAGCTTATACGTCCAATCTCATTACACCATGAAAAGTGTAAACACTGTGCATATCTTTCTTCACCACAACCATGAAACTTCTTAGGGGGCTCTCCTTTTTTCCTCCTTCCTTCCAGTTCCATATTGTGGATCTTTTCTCATATACATCTGCTTTCCCTCCTCCAAACAATTACAAACCACCTTAAAATTACACCTCTATGTCTCTGAACAGCTCATCTTTAGCCTTCGTCTGTGCAATTATTTCTAATGCAGTAGCAGTCTTTTCTTTTTGTATGTGCCACCATCTCAAAACCATCAATTGCAGATAGAGTCAGTCACTGTCTTCTTAAAGCTAACTGTCATTTTTCGACGAACCCCCAGGTCACGTCATCCGTAAACACATTATAATATTTTTATAGAAATTGTATTATTGCCTTTGTATAAGACTATAAAAATTGATAAGAAAATAACTTCTAACAGGTGAAGTTTTAAATCAAACATTAGAGACTGAATCTATTAATAGCAGCAATTTCTGCATAATTTTCCAGCAGAAGTATATGAAGAGATTCAAAGATCTGCATGTTGTGTTCAACACTCCTTTGAAGAACTAAACATAGTTAACTCTATTGTAAATAAAGCCCCCTCCATAGCCAGGAACCCATATAAAAACTCTTCAAATGAGTCCCTTCTTAAATGCAGGAACAAAATACAAGAAATTTGGTCTTTAGTTTGAGTAGATTTCTTTTGGAACATGGATGAGGAGTTACATGCTCAACTCCAAGTCGACCCACTTAGAGTTGATAAAACTCTCTCACAGTAGCGGTTGTGAAACCGAAAACTCAGTGTCCAACCTCAGGCTAGATCAATTCAGAGTTAGTTAAACCGGCTGTGTAAAAAGGGCCTGTGGTTCCATTTTTTTTTTTTTTTTTGTTGCCCAAAACCTTTATCTGAATACCGCAACTCAGATCTAATTTCTTAGCATCACAATTACTCCAAGCCTACATTCAAATCAATATAGGCACAACTAGCTGGAAAACAGGGTTTTGGACAAGATTCTCTCACCGGTTTGGGAAACCTTTACAAGGGCAGAAGGCCAAATATTAAAAAGAATTTACAGACCTTTGTCAAAGAACACTAAACTCTCAATTCAATAAAAAGATTTTGAGAATAGCTTTAGCTTTTTTTTTATTATTATTAAGAAATTATCTTTGAACTTTTTTGTCAAATATTTATCTCCCAATAAATATGCTATTATTTTTAAGTTGAATTACACAACACAAATATATCAAATTCTATACAATAATTCTTACTATTTAGGTCTCCTGTAGTATAAAGGCTCCACTAAGAGATATGACTGATGGAGTTGAGGCAGTTGTTAAAAAATAACACAGGAACTGCTGCTAGATCAAAGCTTTAATGTTTATGTCTGTCGTCAGTAGTGGGGGGCAAAGATGAAGAAAGATCTTATAAATAGTTATAAATAAACATACACAGATGCTCATAAAGAGAATAATAAACATTTCTCTTAGAAGTCTGATTCGATGCATCTGAAACATGGGATAACGTGTATTTAGCAGCTATGTCATCTTATTTGTGATCATCGAGTTAAAATATTGTGCAAAATCTTTTTGTTTTACTTCCAGGCAAATACTCTTTTCTCAGAGAGCAGAGACAGAATTTTGATAAACAGGGCAAAAGTGTTGGTCCGAAATGCTAAAGACAGATTTTCAGACTTTAGACAGATTTTATTTGTCATTTTGTTTACACAAGTGTAAAACAAAAGAAATTTCGTTTGGAAACAGCTCACTGAAGGTACATCAGAATCAGAAATACTTTAATAATCCCAGAGGGAAATTACTTTTGTTACACGCTCCAGTTCCAGTTTTATATAATATATACACACATCCAACTACACAATATAATAAAGATGAAAAATAAAAAGAGATAAAATATATGCACATATAGCTCTTCTGTATATATATATATATATATGTACGTACACAAGTGTATGTACATATGAATTATTGTACCTTTGTCACATACAGCCTATATCAACTCATTGTGAAGGTTGGTATGTATTATAAAACATTTATTATAAAAAAAAAAACAGCAACTGTGACCTACTTCATGCTATAAGTGTGGTGCTAGGAGTCCATTATTACATCAGCAGCTGACTTTAAATCCTCAGAAAAATAGGATGGAATTTTAGGTATTATTTTATTTGTTGGAATAATAAATTCTGTCTATCAGTCTCACCTTTTCAGAGGTTTTCTCTGTGTTCTTTATGTTGAGGTCAGTCTGGTTGTCCTGTTTGGCCATGATGGTGTTACAGCAACCTAAAAAGAGAAGGTCACAATACATCATATGACATGTGTAGCTATAAGAGAAAAACCCGCAAGGACACCGGGGTCATTTTACAACAATATGTGGGGAAGTTGTTTTCTTTGGTTTTGTTTTTTTTGTTTTTTTTTTCCATACATGTTAGAGATAGGAACATCTGCCAACTGCTACAAAGAAAATTACTGAGAAGGCAGAGGCTGGTAGGAAAAAGCACATTATGGTAGAGAGTTTGTTCACCTTGTGGTGTTCTTCAAGTAAACTTTTCAACATGCAAAATGTTCTGAGAAATAATCATTATCAATGTACAGCATTAAGAACTGCCTGTTTCTAACCTTCAAAAAGAAAAGAGGAAAACAATTTTCTCCTGCTGTCCAGCCCCACAGTAGCCCACATCTACATTCACACAGGCTGACAAGACTGAGGTGAGAGGCTATGACTATGCTCTTTCTCATTTCCTCTCTCTTTCTCTCCCTCCCTCCCTCCCTCTCTCTTCCAAGCCCTGGTTAGGATGTTCAAACGCACGTGCCTTTAAGAAACGTACAAGACGCGCAAAAACGTGCAGCGCGATTCCCATAAAGCACAGAGTATCCGTGTCAACTTCAATCCATGGAGGGGTGTAGACATATTTGACAAGTGTGAAACCCTTAAGCTGCAAATAACTGCGCTTATTACTGTCAAAAATGTGCACATCCCAAAAGTAGCGCAATTTAAAACAGCTGGACGCACATGGCATGGTGCTATGTGGGGAAGATGGAGGCAGAAGAGAAGGAGAATTACATTTTTTTTTTTTATCGTAATGCATAACACGTGTTGTTTATCTCCCTGGAACCGCTTTTCATACACATACAATGGAATGTAACCACGTTTTAATTGCCGAGTACTTTTTTTCTAAATTTCAGTGGAATGATTATTAAAGTGAAAAAGTCATAAGTCTCACGTGGGTTATTTCCCTTTGCTGTGGCGCTTGAGTCACCCATGGTTTGAAATGATGCACCATTACGCATGGTCCAGCAGCTGATTTTTCCTTTTATTTCTATATTCCCGTTCTTTTATCCTGTTGCAGTTTGAAACCCCGTCTCATCCCTATTTGCAGCTGTAAACATTTGTACTCTTCGTACTGATCAGAGATCATTTCTCCCCTTTGCATTCAGGAGCGCCGGGCGCCTCTGCGCGAAATTACGCATAGAGGGATGACTTTAAAGTTGATCCATCTGAGATTGTGCTCCGAAGCTGACAGACCCAGTGAGACACAGATTGCCTTTCTGCTCTGGTTTAAACCCCTGGGTGAAAGGCAAGGAAAGGCCAATATGAAATACAAGATTGAGAATAAGGCACAACTCTTTTATGTCTGAATTGGTTTCTAAATGGCTGAAGGAAAAAAAACAACACTATTTTGGATGCGATTCTCCTTTCTCACTCAGCAGGTGGTTGTAGATGTTTAACTGCACACTAGATAGTGAGGATGATGCATATATGCAAACTATGAACTGATGGACTTTAGGCTAAAAACTCCTAATGTTTTCCTTTAAACGATCCTGATGTTAATAAAAATGCACACCGATTTTTACATGTGGCAAAACCAGTATGTATGCACCTGACAGTTTATTTTGAGTTTATATTTTAACCAAAAACTAAATTCAGCAAAAAAATATTTACAGTAATATACCAAGAAATAAAAAAGATTTATACAGAAATTGTTCTTAAATTCTTAGCCAATTTAGATATTAGGAGGAGACATAACTTTATTTAAACAGCACCAATGAATAAATGTGTGCATAGTTTAATTAGCCTCAGGAAAATCTGCTCCATCTTATGCAGAAAAGGCAGATCTAGATACATTATGATCAGTATAGGTGGACCCTGAACTGATTTTGGTGCCTATTAGTTTTCAGCTACCCCCCAGTGTAGTCTGGTCACCCCTGTGAACATCTATATGCAACAGCCACTGCTTAGCTTGGATATATAACAGACTTTTTCTCTTCGGGGTTCACAGCAGGCAATGATGTCTTTTCAGAGAAGGCAGTAAGCAAGACTATGTGCACATCTTTGGGGACCATCAGTATTGAATTTCCTTACTACCCAGGAGTAAAGAGCAGTGGTGGTTCCAGAAAAACTTATAGGGGGGCCAAGAAGGAACCATTGTGCACTGAGGGGTAGCTGAAAACTTATGTGCTGAAAAAAAAATTACGGTCAATCTATGATGATCACAATAAATAAAAAATAAATAATAAATTAACATGAACAATTTCTATATTTTTCATATAAATATGAACGCACATTTTTATACATCAGTGCTGTCTAAATTAATCTATGGTTCTATATATCATATGCATTAAATGGATTGAGCAGTTGTTCTTTATCCTTAATTATATAAAATACTCCAAGATGACAGCAGAGATGTCTACCCTATAAAACCTGCAAACTGATTTCTAAAAGAGCAAGAGTTCTCAATTAGTCATCTTTATTTGTATTTATTTTATTGTTTTGAATATCTGCAGCATTTTTGTTGTCTCTTTTCGGTCAATATACTAACTTTAAAATGTCAAAGTAAAAATTTCCAGATGATATGATCACTACTGCCACCTTCTGGTTCAGAGAAGAACTGCTCGTTCCAGGGATGGTGAACTACACTCACCGGCCACTTTATTAGGTACCCCATGCTAGTAACGGGTTGGACCCCCTTTTGCCTTCAGAACTGCCTCAGTTCTTTGTGGCATAGATTCAACAAGGTGCTGGAAGCATTCCTCAGGGAGTTTGGTCCATATTGACATGATGGCATCACACAGTTGCCGCAGATTTGTCGGCTGCACATCCATGATGCGAATCTCCCGTTCCACCACATCCCAAAGATGCTCTATTGGATTGAGATCTGGTGACTGTGGAGGCCATTTGAGTACAGTGAACTCATTGTCATGTTCAAGAAACCAGTCTGAGATGATTCCACCTTTATGACATGGCGCATTATCCTGCTGAAAGTAGCCATCAGAAGTTGGGTACATTGTGGTCATAAAGGGATGGACATGGTCAGCAACAATACTCAGGTAGGTTGTGGCGTTGCAACGATGCTCAATTGGTACCAAGGGGCCCAAAGAGTGCCAAGAAAATATTCCCCACACCATGACACCACCACCTCCAGCCTGAGCCGTTGATACAAGGCAGGATGGATCCATGCTTTCATGTTGTAGACGCCAAATTCTGACCCTACCATCCGAATGTCGCAGCAGAAATCGAGACTCATCAGACCAGGCAACGTTTTTCCAATCTTCTATTGTCCAATTTCGATGAGCTTGTGCAAATTGTAGCCTCAGTTTCCTGTTCTTAGCTGAAAGGAGTGGCACCCGGTGTGGTCTTCTGCTGCTGTAGCCCATCTGCCTCAAAGTTCGATGTACTGTGCGTTCAGAGATGCTCTTCTACCCACCTTTGTTGTAACGGGTGGTTATTTGAGTCACTGTTGCCCTTCTATCAGCTCGAACCAGTCTGGCAATTCTCCTCTGACCTCTGGCATCAACAAGGCATTTCCGCCCACAGAACTGCCGCTCACTGGATGTTTGTTCTTTTTCGGACCATTCTCTGTAAACCCTAGAGATGGTTGTGCGTGAAAATCCCAGTAGATCAGCAGTTTCTGAAATACTCAGACCAGCCCTTCTGGCATCAACAATCATGCCACGTTCAAAGTCACTCAAATCACCTTTCTTCCCCATACTGATGCTCGCTTTGAACTGCAGGAGATTGTCTTGACCATGTCTACATGCCTAAATGCACTGAGTTGCCGCCATGTGATTGGCTGCTTAGAAATTAAGTGTTAACAAGCAGTTGGACAGGTGTACCTGATAAAGTGGCCGGTGAGTGTATATCCTCATGGGAGCAATAAATCCCCTGTGGGGATGGGCATGGTTCCCCCTTCCACCCCCAAAAGCTCTGCCCCTGCTAAAGAGACACTTAAAGCTCTGTAGAACATTCTCAGTAATATTTACACAAAGAAAAAAAAATAATATCTTTTCTAACAGGTAAGGTGACTGAGGGGAAAATAAAACCAATTTAGATCGAGTGTTTTTAATTTGTCAGCCAGTCTGCTCCTGGAAGGTCTTTATATCACTTTTTTTTTTTTTTATCACCTACCAAAGGTCACTCAGAGGGTTATTCTCATATTCATCTTTCAAAATATTTGATTAAAAGACTAGGGGTCAGTACCCATAATAAACCAGAAGAGTGTGGAGCCAAACTTAAGAAGTTGGGGCTCCGTAAGCATCCAGTAAACAAACTTCAGCAAGAGTTTTAGTTCTAGATTGAATTTTTGAAGCCGTAGGAGGTGGACCTGCTGCCGAGTTCCAGATTATCATGCTGCTCTATAAAATAAGAGTCTCAGTTTAAGGTGAGTAACTGATGTTGGGTCATGCTCTTGCTGGGACTTTCTGGGAGAGATTAAAATCTGTTTTTACTGCATGTCGTTTAGGTCCTGGTGCTGCAAAATGTAAATGACTGCCACCCTTGCTGCCTCCATGTTTTACTGTAGAATTATATTCAACAATTAGGACATTATGCAAAAAAAAAAAAAATGGTCAGCATGAATAAAGGGACAAATTAAGCTCTGTTTTATTAATTCATTTTAACAGTATTAAAAAACAGTTTCAAATATAGAATATTTTTCATGAAAATATAATTTATATCATAAGGAAAATAATGTCGACAAAAGGCCAGCTCACCATAAAATGGTAAACCCCATTTGTTTTTTTCTTTTATAACTGAGCATTGATTTAATTTTTTGTTTTTTAACCTGAGAACTTCTGAATAAGAAAGAATAGTTTTCTTTTGAGATTTTGATATGAAATACTAGATTAGAATAAAGTCTCAAGAAATCTGCTGTGTTGTTAGTCTACAGTTGTAACACAAATATGGAATCTGGGGGTTTGGCTCACAGGGAAGCTATCTTTAATTTATTCATCTAACTAATGCCCAACTTCAAATTAAAAGGACTGGATTAAAAGCGGACATTTGG